GGAGAATCGTGTTCCTTTTCTCTTCCCCTGGTCAGAGAATCCTTTTCACTGGATGGAAGAGAAACATCCAGGCTTTGCAGTCAAAGACACTTCTAAGTTCTCACTTCCTAAGATGTTTAAATCCGAGAAAGTCTCTTAACCTCACTGACCTTCCTCTTTCTCATCTGTAAATTGAAAAAATAAACTCTACCTAGCAAGGTTGTCATGAGAAAAGAATTGACTGATGTGTCTCTAGGCTCAGCAGGACCTGGACAGTCAGTGGGGTATCTTCCAGAACTCACACTATAAAATTGCTTGGACACTTGCTTCTCAGCTCTCTTCCCACTGTATCCCCGCACCCGCCAGAAGTGTACAGAAAGCAGCTCTCAGGGCACCTGTGTATTTTTGTGGGTATTCTTTCCACCCTCAATTTCCCCATGAGATGCCCTCCTTTGCAGGGCTATTTTAACACACACCCTAACAAAGCAGATTTAACACACACTCTATCCACCTTAGCCAAAATCCAAAGCCTCCAGCCTTGGCTGATCAAGATTTCCCACATATATAACCCTTGTATCTTTTCCTTAAGTAGCCTCAGATCAGCATTCAATACAGGGGAGCTTTGAGTGCCTATTATGTGCTAATTTCTGTTCTTGGTCCTAAGAACACCCAAAGCTTATAGAGGACTAGACCACTTAGCACTGGGCAGCTATTACCCTCTGATGCCACAGCACTCAAAAATTTTGGTGGCACTAGTAGGGACTCTATATAGTCCATAATCTAGGAATAGGCCAGAAACTGGCCCTAGATGGCTAGACCAGGAGACATTCCTGCCACTCTGGGGAGGTGGGCTATGACTGTGGAGCACCAGAGGGCAGGAGGGTGGGTATTTCATAACTGCAGTTTCCATCTCGTCATCCTCAGTCCCGTGCCAGATCTGGCCCTCCGATCCAGTTCAGCCTGTCCTGAGCGTTCCCCTTCCTAAGGTGTAGGATATATCTCCAGGTGGAGATATGTCAGGAAATAGTGGGCCACGTCTTGACAGCCCAGGAGAGCAGTGTGTTCTCTTCCACCAACTGCTAACATCACACCTCAGAAGCCAGCTCAGATCTCGGGCTTCAGGAGGAAAAATCTAGGGAAACTGAGGTCTCCCAGGGCCAAGACACCAGCCATCACTGTGATTGTAGGTCAAAGGTGCATTGTTGAGTTTTCATGGTGCTGATGTATACACAGGCAGGCACACAATCTGAGGGCGGGTTTACGTTAAAGTCTGATTTGCTAGTTTCTCTTGAAAAGTATGAGGCAACAAAGGATGTGTCTAGAGCTGATTAGAGCCCAGGGGGCAATTTTCCTTAGAGCCACAACGGAGCCTATTCCTCAAAAGATTATTTTGAAGAAGTCTGTGTACATGCAGAAGGGAACTTTCTCAGGAAAAAGTAATCTGGCCACTCATTGGCTGGAGGCTAATGGCTGCTGGCTGTAATCTAGCCACTCATTGGCTGGCAATGAGGGGGTGGGGGACAGGATCTAGAATGAACTAGTCCTCACCCTCCTTTCTGCTAGGAGATAACTTTCCTTTTTTGGGCAGGATTCCCATTTGTCAGTTGATGGAGCCAGTTTGTTGAAAATATAGCTGTGAAAACATTAGAAAACGACTTTATGATATAATAATATTCTTGTTTATTTATGAATGCATTAAATGGCAAGATCTAGCATCTGATCTAAAAGGAATGGGAGGGTAAATATTTCAAGATGTCTGCAACAACCTTAACGTGATATGAAAATACTTGTAATGTTTATGGCCAACAGTAAAAATAAATATGTAAATTCACAGGCCTCCATCCCCCAATTCTATTCACAGACTCCCAAGAATCTGTACCCCAAAATCACCAGGGAGAGCATATTAACCTTGTAATTCAGCTTAGAAGTTACAACTGATGACCCAGGACTTTGTCAATTCCCCAGGGAGGAAGCTGAACTTTCCTTTATTTGAAAAGATAAATGGATAGTAGAATAATATGGAAGCTGGCATGAAACCCAAAAGACATGAACAAAAAAACTACAAGTTGAATTACGTATATGGTAAAAATCTAATAAATGAGGTTATAAACAAAGCACAGTCAGAAGACATTGCAACATAGTAATAAAGTACCAATACTTAATAAAGTATTATTATGTTACAAATCAACACAAAAGAGAAAACCCAATAGGAAAGTGGACAAATGATATTATGTAATTCATGGAGTAATAAAATGTAGATTGTCTGAAACTTGTGAAACACTGAACCTCACCAAAAGGAACATGAAAATTACATTGTTTAATTCTCCCTACCACTGTCATTACCACGATTTGAATCATTATTTTTTCTATTATAAAACTGCATTTATTACACATTATTAATTTGTTTCCCACATTTTATTAAAAACTTATTTTACTGCCAAGCAAAAGTCACTATAAACTTCAATTTATCAGTATTGTCACAGTACATTCATAAAATCACAGACCAGCACGAAGAAACTTGACACTCAGGTTGACTTATTTGGTCTCATTGCAAGATACTTCATACATTTTTTAAATATTGAAAATATTTCTAATCAAGTTCCTCAAAACCCTGGTAGTTGGGCATGTTAGTTGAAGAACTATTTATCATGCCCTTTTCAGAGGTGGATATGAAAGTCAATATGTGTGACTCTGCTCCCCTGCTGAGAGGGCAAACACCAGGAACCCTTCCCTGTGGAAAGCTGAAAACCAGCTAAAGTTCCAGGGACACAACCTCAAGGTCAGCCATGGGGGTGTCCTCCAAGCTTGACTGAAATGTCAGAGTAAAGGGCAAGACAATGGGAATAAATAAACCTGGGGCAGGAGACATGACTAGTGAATATTTTTCAATAAGACTATCAGCACAGTGATTCTCAGAGGGGAAAATACCAGAATGAAAGGAAACAGATGGATCTAGTTTCATAAAACATTGTAACTATATTTGGTGGGGGGAGAGTCAGTTTTGTCCTATAATGCAAACAACCAAAAGGAAGGTTCTAGAAGAGCTTAGCCAGAGACTTTACCCAAGAAATATTCATTTTCGTACCTCCTGAAAAGAGGAAATAAATTCATTTTTATTTTTTAATTGAAAAATTAAAGTTACATGTATTTATGCTGCACAAAATTATGGGTGTTTTAAAATATTTTTTTAGTTGTAATTGGAACAATACCTTTATTATTTATTTATTTACTATGTGGTGCTCAGCATCCAACCCAGCGCCTTGTACATGCTAGGTGAGCACTTTACTGCTGAGCCACAACCCCAGCCCCACAACGTGATGTTTTGAAATGAAGGAGGTAAATGTTTATGTGAACCTAAGAAGGGGCAGAAGTTTTAAATAGTTTGAGTTTGCAATTTGCTTTTATGAGCCAACTGGTAGCATAAATGCATGTGTACATTGGGAAGGGGTAGTGTAGAGGATGGCAGATGCGGGAAGGGAGGAGACTATGCCAAGGACAAGTGGCCAGTGATTAGGATGTAAGTTCTGGGAACCCTCTGCTTGATTCTAGGTCTGCTACCTTCTGCCTCTAAACTAGTGTTTGGCGCACAGAAAGGAATCATCAATAAATACTTCTTGACGAAATTCATTCATGAATGTTGTGGTTTGGATGTTTTTGAGTGTGTCCCCCAAAGTTTCATGTGGTAGAAAGTTTGGTCCCCACTGTGATGATGCAGAGAGGTAGCGGAAGCTAGGAAGTGGGCCCTAGTGGAAGGTGGTTAAGTTATTGGGCTTATTATGTTTTATGAAGTGTCCTCCCAAAGCACCTGTGTGAATGCACAGGTGAAATGATCGGAATTGGAGGGCTGTAACTTAATCTGTCCACTCTAGTTTAAATGGAGGGACTGGGTAGTACTGTAGGTAGGTGGGTCATGGCTGGAGGAGATGAGCCTCTGGAGGGGTGCCATGGACAGGTGTGTTTTCCCTACTGTCTCTTTCCCCTTCCCCCTCTCAGAGTCCTTGCTGCCAAGAATGGAACAGCTTCCTTCGGCCACGCCCTTGCACCACGATATTCTGCCTCACTTTCAGCCCAGAGCAATAGACTCAGCCAACTATGGACTAAGACCTTGGAAACCATAAGCCAAAATAAAATTTCCCTTCTCTAAGTTGTTCTGGTTGGGTATTTTGGTCATAATAATGAAAAGCTGGCTAAACTAGGGGTGCTACTCTGGCAGAGATTAATACAGTTCTCATGAGACCCTGGTTAGTTCCTGCAAGAGTGAATTGTTCTAAAAAGAGGAAACCTAGCCCCTGAGTCTCTCTGGCTTCCTGTATTGCTACATGATTACCTCTGAGTGTGCTATTGCTGCCACTCTGGTGCCATTCTCCTTAAGGGCTTCACCAGAGACTAACCAGCAAGGGCAACCAGATCTTAGACTTTCAGTTTCCAAAACTGTGAGCTAAGTAAGTCTCATCTCTCTATAAGTGATCCAGTTTCAGGTATTTAGTTATAACAACAGAAAATGGACTAATATACCAATGTCAAAATCAGGACCAGAAATCAAGTCTCTCTTTCCCTTAGTCAAGGTTCTAACAGGTCCTAGAATTAATTTTACAGTATTAACTAGAACATGCAGCAAAACTATTAGCTGCCTACCCCAGCACCCAGCCTCTCTTGCAGCTACATTCTTACCAGGGAGATGCAAGGGGAAGTGGTGATGGCACTCAATGGTATTTGCAGAAGTCTTTATAAAATAAGAGGTGTACCTCTTTTCCTTTATCCTATTGCCTGAAATGCAGACATGATGGGATGGAAGCCCAGCAGGCACATGGGCCATGGTCTATAGTCCCTAAGGATGACAAGCAGAAAGATGTAAACCTGGGTCCCTGACAATCACCATCACCCTACCGGTACTGGATTGTCCAACTCCAGACTTCCTTTTCACAAAAGAAAAATGAATTTCTATGTCTCATAGCCACTGTTCTTTGGGATTATTTTATTAGAGAACAGAGGAGGCTAATCCCGAGATACAGGTAAGACCCCCCCACCCCCAGGAGAGAGTAGAAATCAAGCAAAAGTATGGCAGTCCGGTAGTTTCCAGTGTCACATGCCCACAGTAACTTGTTGTTTGACTCTATTTGTTACCTGGCCCCAGCTTCCTGGTCACTAATCCTTTTGGGCCTTGGATCAGGTCCCTGTAGGTCCTGGGACAGTACTCACGAAAGAGATTTTCCACCAGTGTGTTGCTTCCTCGAACCACGGTCCTCCCCTCCTTGTTCATGTAGTTCCACAAATGCAGGGCATAAGAGTCATTGAAACTCAGGTCTCTGTCCCAGACTTCATAGTAACGCCTCCACTGGGGATAAGAGATTGGGTAAAATCTCTGGGGGTATAGGAAGGACAAGTTCAGACACCTGAGGTCACTCAGCCCTTGGAAGTCTCCAAGTTTGCACCATAATCTCAACATCCTCGTCATCAAAATAGGACCTTGGTTGCCCCAAATTTTTGAATTGTAGTGTTCAACGAAGTTTTCCATGCATCCCCACAAGAAGGGGTGGTGGGGCAGGAACCCAAACACCCCATTACTAGAGTACCGAGAGGACTGAGCAGCCAGAAAGTTCTCCTCGGGAATAGGCCTGATGGAGATGACGTCAGTATCCATGTAGACACCACCGTATTTCCAGATGATAGCCAGGCGGGATGCATCTGAGCTGACATGGAGCCAATATGCCTGTGTACTGGCATTGATCTGTGGGAGCAGGTGCAAATCAGCCCCAAGCAGTGAGAAGAGGGAGGGGAGTCACAGTAGGAAAGCCAAGCCCAGAGGAGCAGGGGGAGGGGTACAATAAACCAGCTTCCCAAAATTAGATTTGGCCACAAGCCAAATTTTCCAAACTTCCCAAACTTACCTCCCTGAATTTTCCTTTAAGTGAAAATATTCCTTTAAGTAAAAATTTGCAGCAATTACTATCAATGAAAAGAGTTTTAGTAACTTTTAAAGATTTTCTGGAAAAAAATAAACCACAGCAGTGGAAAGAGAAAGAAGAAATCCAACAGGGATTTCACAATGAAATATCTGAGTCATTCTTCAGTGTGGGTGTACATTTTAACCACATATATGAAGCAGTGAAGGAAGAATCAAAAAGCCCTCAGAATGCTCATTGGTTAGACAAAGAGGAAAGAAGGGAAGGGAGGGGGACAGAAATAAGAAAAGACATAGAATGAACCTGATATAATTTTCCTGTATTCACATATGAATACACAACCAGTATAACTCCACAATATCTACAACCACAAGAATGGGAAGTTATACTCCATGTATGTATGATGTCAAAATACTTTTTACATGACGCTGGGGATGTGGCTCAGCGATAGAGCGCTTGCCTAGCACATGCGAGGCCCTAAGTTCGATCCTCAGCACCACAAAAAATTAAATAAATAAAGATATTGTGTCCAACTAAAAAAATAAATATTAAAAAAAATACTTTCTACTGAGGCTGGGGTTGTAGCTCAGTCGTAGAGCACTTGCCTGGCAAGAGTGAGGTATTGGGTTCCATCCTCAGCTCCACATAAAATAAATAAATAAAATAAAGATATCGTGTCCACCTATAACTAATAAATATATTTTTTAAAAATGCATTCTACTGTCATGTATAACTAAAAAGAACAAATAAAAAATTTTTTAAAAATGCTAAAAATTAATGGAGAAAAAAATAAACTAGGAAACTAGAGGGAAAGTCAATATGTATGCTGGATGAGAAATTAGTTAAAGAATCTTTAAATGTGTGTATTCATTTGCTTCTTCATTGCTTTGATAATATTCATTGAGGGTCTATTTATTATGTGCCAACCTCTGTTAGAACTGCTAAGGATACAGCAGTGAACAGATAGGCAAACTTCCCTACTGGGAGGGAATGGACTATAAATAAATAAATAAATACTCTGTTGGGTGTTGATAAGAACTATGAAGAGAAAAAAGCTGGGTGAGGGGGTTATGAAAGAGAGTGGAGCTCAACATGATATCAGGTTCCCTCAGAAATGTCAATGAAGTGGGTGATGAACCATCGCCATTTCTGGGAGAAGAGGATTCTGGGTAGAGGGACCAGCAAGGGCCCTGGGGCAGGTGCACCTTGGCCGTGTGGCAGAGGCAGAGAAGAGAGCAGGGCAGGTGATGAGAATAGAAAGTGTAGAAACAGAGAGCAGTTGATGTAGGGTGGGGTCAAGACTTTGAAGTTATTCAGATGGTTTGGAAGAAAGAGGGATGGGATGTGAATTAATTTTCAAGGGCTCACTTTGGCTGCTGTATAGAAAAGACCATGATAAAGGGGTGAGAGATGAGCGGGGCAGAAATAAAAGAGCAAATGAGGAGGCTGTCGAAATGATCCAGGCAAGAGGTGATGGTGGCGTGGGCCTAGGTGATAACCTGGTTGGGAGAAGAGAAATGGTTGAGTTCTGGCACATATTGCAGATAAAGCTGGAAGGGGAGTGAGAGAGAGAGAAGCCACAGACAACTGCAAATGCCGAAAGTGAACAAAACTGAAAGTGAATTTAAAAGTGAAATTAAAAGGAACGAAAACAAATCAGCATAAATAGCAGTGTTCCCACATGGGATGCTAATATTTTGAATACAAAAAACAAAATATACTTTTTGGGGGGGGGGTACCAGAGATAGAATCGAGAAGCATTTAACCACTGAACCATATCCCCAGCCACTTTTTATATTTTACTTAGAGACAGGGTCTCAACACTTTTTTTTTTTTTGTAGATGGACACAATACCTTTATTTTGTTTATTTATTTTTTTATGTGATGCTGAGGATCGAACCCAGAGCCTCAAACATGTTAGGTGAGCACTCTACCACTGAGCCACAACCCCAGCCTCAGGGTCTCAGCACTTTTTTTCTGAACTTCAATGTGTTGATTAAACACATTGTTGGTTAAACAACTGGGGCTGAGATTGTGGCTCAGAGGTAGAGTGCTTGTCTACCATGTGTGAGGCACTGGTTCGATCCTCAGTACCACATTTTAAAAATAAATAAAATAAAGTATTGTGTCAACCTATAACTTTAAAATACATGTTTTTTTTTTTAAAAAAAAAGGTTAAACAACCACCTTGACTTTTGGTAAAAATAAACATTCTTTAAAATTCTAAAAAATCAAATAAAAGCAGGCCGACTAAACTTTGCAAAAATTTTCCCAAGTAGCTAAAAAATCATCACCTTGTTTATAATTGCTGAAAACCTCATAAATAAGAATAGATGACATTTACCAATACCTGGTCCAAAGATAGACAAATCCTCAAAGATAGGTTCTAAGATCATTCTTCTTTAAAAAATGAAAAATTAGAAGGATCAGGAAGTTCAGTCATCTGTGCAAAGAGGAAGAGGTTGGATTTGAACCACGACTGGCGGACCTCAGACATCTACTCATCCAAAAGAAACAGGTTTTGATAAAAATAAGGAAGTATGATATTTTTGGTAAATTAGTGATTGTTAATGAACAAACAATGAGACGTAGGATATCAAAAACTGTACGGAACCAGAAGAGGAGGAAAACTGCCTTGATATAAACATTACAGTAGTGCACCCTAAGCACAAGAGCCTCAACAGGGGTTTCAGAAGGAGGTTTGATGTTCTGGCTGCTTAGATGACTGTTGCCCCCACCCCCAATCCTATGCCCACAGTAGTCATTCCTAGGCATCTTCAAAGACTAAGATTGCCCAGATAATCCAAAGAGTGTTTCTAGTTGACTGCAATAAAATGCATGCATGCCCACCACCTACGACAGCTCACCCAGAGCCCAGGCAAATGTGGAAGAGTGAGGCAAGATTTTTTTCTCTCTTTTATATAGACACTATAGTAAGATGAATAATTGCCACCCCAAAATATCTGATCCTAATTCCTGGAAACTGTAGATGTTGCCTCATATGGGGAAAGAAGCTTTTCAGATGTGATTAAGCTAAGGACCTTGAGATGGGGAGATTATTCTGGATTATCCTCATGGAGGTCTAAAAAATTACTCATGTGCTTTAACAGAAGAAGAGAGGGAGGTTTTACACCCAGAGAGGAAAGGAGAATTTGAAGATGGAGACAGAGCTTGGAGTAATGGTCTCCAGTCCAACAGATGCTGGCAGCCACCAGACGCTGGTAAGAAATGAAGAATTAGGGCTGGGATTGTGGCTCAGCGGTAGAGCGCTCGACTAGCATGGGCAGGACCCAGGTTCGATCCTCAGCACCACATACAAATAAAGGCATTGTGTTGTGTCCATCTACACCTCTAAATAAATAAATATTTTAAAAAAAAGAAATGAAGAATTATTCTTCCCAAAGTCTCTGCAAGGAATGTGGCCCTGCCAATGCCTTGAGATCAGCCCAGTGAAGCTGATTTGGGACTTCTGCCTTCAGAATTGAAAAAAAAAAAAAATTCGGTTGTCACCAAGTTTGTGATAATTTGTAATAGCACCCATTGGAAACTAATTCAAGAACCTAGATAATATCCTCCAACTTTTTGCTTGGCCCACAAAGCCTAAAAAATATTTACTGTCCTGCCATTTGTAGAAGTTTGATGATATTTGGTCAAGGATTTTGCAATGGCAAATAAATAGTATTATTTTAATGTCAATTTTTAATTAATTTTTGTTTTTTAGTTACAAAATAAGAGTACTGACTGAATTCCTTACTCCGTTGGCCCTGATTCCTTACTCCTTTGACCCATCTGTCTGGTGAGTAGTTGGAGTCATTTTGGACGAGTCTTCGGTTAGTCCCTCCCAACACTAATTTTGTAAGTTTTCCCCCAAAACACTTACTCGAGTATACCATGAATACAGGGGTGTGTCTTCCAACAGCTTTTTCATATCCAAAGGGAGGAGGAAAACATTGTCCAGGGCTGAGAGGAGGGAAAAGGCTGGGTAGCTGGAGTTTGAGGGCAGCTGAATGGAACTGTTGAGACCTTTCATAAAGAAGGCCACGGGCTGCTCTGGATAAACCCTGGCAGCAGACTCCACGGCGCAGCAGACCAGTGGGGGTGGCTCCAGTCGCTCTGAGGTCTCTACAAACACAATGCCACGTCCATGGCTCAGGAGGGATTCGGGGTCCTGCTGGAACTTGAAGGGCATCAGGCAGGAGAAGAAGCAGGAGGATCTCAGGAGGAACTGGTAGAGGAAGCCACAGGCAAACAGCAGGGTGATGGATAGGGAGAACTGGAGCTCCTTCAGCATGTCCACTGCTCTCTCCCAGCCTGCTCCTTTAACAACACCCACCATTCATTAAACATCACATTCCCAACTGGATGAAGATAGCACACAAGAATACCATGTGAGAATATCACTTAGAAACCTATACGAAAGAAATACAATAGAGTCGAGAAGTAATAAAAAGAAAACCTTGGCATAACCAAATTTGGGTTATCTTAGATTTAAGGATGATTATGCATAGGAGAATAATTAATTTGTTGGTAGAAAGAAACTATTCATGAATGCATTATCTTAAGAGAATAAAGAAGAAAAGCCATATAATCATTTCAGTTCAATAAATGCCAAGACTGTGATAACATTTGTCATCCATTCATGATTTTTAAGAAGCATAAAAACTTTCTTAAGCAAATAAATAATGTCTACTATAACATCTAGAATATCATACTTCATACGAAACATTTGAAACATCTGTTCATATCAGGAATGGAATAAAGATATAGCCACTATGACTATTGTTGTTTAAATTCATTCTGCTAATTCCAACCATCGCAATAAAGTGAAAGAAAGGAATCTGTAACTATGAATGTTAAAAGAAGCAAAAACATCATAAGTTTTAGAAAATATGATTGCCGACCTAGAAAATCCAAGATCACTTACAGAAAAACTAATAGAACTAAGAAGAGAATTATCCAAGGAAGAAAATGGAATGTTAGAGAGTTAAATAAGTTGCCAAGATCACACAGTTTGCAAGTAGTGATGTTACAACTCCCACCTGAGTCTGTCCAGCACCAAAGCCAGGCTCTGACCTGTCAAGTATCTGCCCCTCTGTAAATGTTAGCTCCAACTCCAGGAAAATGGAAATCTCAATTCTTGGGAAGTCTATTTTTTACAAACTATATAACTCTTCTACAAAATGCAAAATCAGTAAGTCAGAGCTTACCTTCTAGGCAGAAACTTGAACAGTTAGCCAGTATTTGAAGTCTTAGAAATGAGGACAAGTTTTTTCCTGGTGTACTTTCTGATAAATCACCGCCCAATCTTTCAGTCAACTACCCACAGGTAAGTAAATCATTGGCAGAGGATTAAGGCTAAACACAGAAATTCCCTGGGAACTTCCCCCTTTATTAAATTGCCCCCCAAAACAGAGACCTGAGAACAATAGAGGCTTCAGAGGATTTTCAGTTGACCCACACACTAATTCAGTCTGACTGTGAATCTAGGAGATCTTTAAGGGGTTCATTTCAGGTAGAAGAAACTACCATATCATAACATAAACCTGGAGCCAACAGATCCTGCACCTGATCAGAGTAGCTTGAATCAAATTCATGGAGACTAAGGAAAGTTTCATTGCCAGGCAATCCTATAAGTTGATCTAAACTGCTTCTTTGCAAACATAGGCTTGATTAAAAGAAAAGGAAGCCCATCACTACAAAACAGCAAAGGACAAACCCCAGTAGTTATAAGGCCTGGGGGTCTTTAATGAAAATAGACAGTATAAGTTACAGTGCCACAGAAAGGATACTTTTGCCATTGTCCCTCTTATTGGATAGAACCTCTTCCGACTCTCACAAACTCAGCTTTGTCACCCTCTACTGATGTGGCAATCTCCACATCTCCCAAGGTATTTTCACTCTCCTGTGGTCTTATTCTCATCACTCCTGAAATGAGCACTGAATATGCTCTTTGGAGCTATCCTCTACTCAGAGAATCACCTGCCTTCAGTCCAGAGCCTGATCTTAGCTATGTACAGGTATCCACAATTTCCTTTGGATGCTCTGGTATGAACAGTGAGGTCCCCTCCTGAGCAGACTGTGAATTCAAACATCACAGGTACTAGATTAAGCAAGTTAAAGCTGTCCCAATTGATGGCTCTGGTTTTCTCTGTGCCAACGAGCCCCCCAAACAGTTCTTGGATTTCCTTGTGACTCTTCCTTCTGAAGCTGAATTTCTTCTCTGAACTTCATCAGTTCTGGACTGAGTGTGCTTTGACATCTTTCCAAAGTTCTCTGGAAAGAGAACTGAAAGAATAGATTGAGAGAATACATTGAATAGATTGATTGCTTACTGCAAAGAGGAAGGGAGATAAGTGCTCCTGCTCCCTGTTTGGGGTAATCAGAGATCTCCATTTGTGGAAATGATGCATTCCTTGTGCCTGAGTCTCAGAAAGGTCACAAATCTTAGTGCCTTCCAGTTGCTTGCACAATGGCCCGGACCAATGAACACGTGGATTCAAAGTAGAAAGCAGTGCAGTAGTTAGTGGTGTTGGTCAGGAAAGGGATGATGTGAGCAGGACTGATGCAGTGAAATCCTGCAGGTCCTGTCTGAGCAGTCGGCTTAGAGTTGTGCCTCCATCTGTCACAGACTGAGGACCCAGGACATGTCTCAGATCCCTTATAAAGTGCAGAAGTTAACGACATTCATACTCGCTGTAAGGATGAAAGGACTCTGTAAACCAAAGCAGCAACTCTCACCTTCCACTGGGGAAAAAGGGAAAGAAGGAGAAGAATATTAATGAAGATGGTATTTAAACTCTTGATTTAAAAAAAAAATTAAGTTGTGTTGCTTAATGTTTTCAGATTAATAAAGTCTATGTTCCAGCGAATGTTTAAAAAGGAAATCCTTGACCCCAAGCGAGAGTTGATAAGATGTGAAGCCAGGTCACAGGTACCTGGGGCCTCTTTGGGATCACAGCCTGATGTCCTTCCCCCGTCTTTCTTGAGAAGCCTTCTGTCATTTGAGCCACTCCACTCGGAACATCCAAGGGCCCTCACACATATCCATCAGCCTTCCCTCTAGTGAGAAGAGCAAGGCTGCCTTTCCCTCCTGCCATATCTGGTCTTTCTCACACTAACTTTCCATCTGTTCAGTGAGATGTCTAGCAGCAGCTCTTAATTTGAACTTCACAAATCCCCAGAGGCTGCATAAATGGACTTCAGGAAACCCTGAACCCTGGGGCCATACCTTGCAACAGTACCTTAAACCTGAGTGCCAATTACCCACAGTTTCTCCTATGTATTGACTCTCCAGGGCACTCTTTTCAAATTCCTTTGAATTTCTTCACTACATAATCTCAGACTTTCTCCAATCAGTCAAGCGACCCCCAAGAACTCCAATATAGGTACCTGAGTGGAGATAGACAAAGAGCTACTTGCCTCTGAGCGATGGATAGGGCTGAATAATCTAGTAGAAGTCATATGTGCTTCTAGGTATTGTCTATTTTCCTAGGATTTTTTTTTCTTTGTGTAAGAGAGTTCTTTCTCCAGCAAAGCATAAGCCAGACTTGGTCAATCTAAAAGTCTATAGAGTCTGGGTAATTTTCACTGACTGCCAAGACCTTAGGACAGGAAAAAAAAAATCTCTGAATCCAAATTTATTTCTATTTTATAGTGTTGTCTTTTTGATGTTTGGAGATAGTGCAAATAAAAGGAAGACCAGGGAGGAAAAACACAGAACTGTAGAAGAAATTTCTCCAACTCTGAAGCCCTAAGCATAACTTCTGATAACCTCAATTTTAAGTACTTCAGTGTTTGGGCTAAGCTCCCTCTTCTATAAAGGACCCACTGTATCAAGCAGGAAAAGTTAAAGGAATTTTTTTATCAATAAGTGTTTGTTGAATTGAACTGCACATGAAAAGTACACCCTGCAATTTTGTAGCTTCTTTGGACTCAGATTTACTGCAAGAAGGAAATGTTCCAGCAACTTCTCCTATTTGCTTTGGAGCCTTTGGAACCATAGTTCCGGTTTTTAACATTTGTTAAGCAAGTGGGACAGATAAATTTGTTAAAGCATTCAGCTATTAACAGGAAAAAAAATACTATGTACGAAGTGATACCTTATCAGCATTACCAATTTGTTTCCCCGCTGTTCTGCTGTGGGAACAAAGACTGAGGGGTTGGATTTTCATGAATTGAGGGGAGATGGCTGGATAGAGGCATTTTATTGCACAGTAAGAAACAATCCCTTACATAGCACTTGGGAGCCCATGGAGGAATAATAATCAATGCATCTGAGGAAAGACATTATCTACATTAAATCCTAAAACAACAACAATAGCAATAAAAACACCCATTTACTAAATCTGCTTGCCCTGTAGAAATATTTTGAACTATTTTACATTCCCCATAAAATGGTCCTAGCCTTGTGTTTCTGACTTTTTCTCCTCACTCAACCATACCAGTCAAACATGCCCCTGTTAATAAACCTTACATAGCTATCAAGAATATGTTCCTAGGTTTGTTCTGGAAATTATTCTATTCACATGTGTAATCCCCCCCACACACCGCACCTTTTTAAATTTATTTGCAGATAAAACAGTTGGTGGGGGATAACGGTGGGGAGATAAGGAGAGTAACTATTCTCAGTGAACAAATTATGCGCCAGACACCACTTTAAAGGTTGAAGCACAGTGTCCGCAAATACAATAGACACTAATATTGCTGTATGTATATACGTGGCTGTATAACCAATGTGATTCTGCAACCTGTACAGTTGGAAAATTGAGAAATTATACCTTATTGATTCAAATGTATGATATGTCAAGATCATTATATTGTCATGAGCAACTAATAAAAAAAAAAAAAAGCCTACAGAAAACAATGGCCTTTTTGAGAGTGGCGGGCTGTTCAAAGGGACTTTGTGGCTAAGCCATATGGGCAATAAGGTAGCTTCTTCTTCCTCTAAGGAACTGGGCACTTCTTAAAGCCACCTGCACTAGGTGTGCAGGTGGCACAGGATCTTTATAAAGACTGACTGTGAGAGTGAGTGCATCTCAATATGGAAGAAAGAAACCATTATGGGATGAATGTGTCCCCCCAAAAATTCATTTCTTTATTTATTTTTTTTTGTACTGGGAATTGAACTCAGGGGCACTCGACCACTGAGCCACATCCCCAGTCCTATTTTGTATTTTATTTAGAGACAGGGTCTCACTGAGTTGCTTAGAGCCTCGCCATTGCTAAGGCTGTCTTTGAATTCTGTCTCAGCCTCCTGCACTGCTGGGATTACAGGCCAAAATTCATATCTTAAAGTCCTAAACCTCAATGTGATGGTATTTGGAGGCAGTGTCCTTGGAGGTTCTTATTTTTAGATTAGGTCCCTTATAAGAACATCTTTCTCTCTCTCTCCACACATTTGCCCCGAAGAAAGGCCATGCAAGCACACAGTGAGAAAGTATCGATATACAAGCCAGCACCTTGATCGTGAACTTCCAGCCGCCAAAACTGTAAGAAATAATTAAGCATCCAGTCTGTAGTGTTTTATTATAGCAACACGAGCAGACCAAGACAGAAACTCCATGGTAAGCTTACACATGTTTTCACAAAAACCCATTTTTGAGCCATCTGTAATGTTGAAGCTACTCTTAACAACAGAGGACAGGCCTCGGTGGGGAAAGGGGAAACTGACTACCACATAAACTTGTAGTGGGTGGAACTTCTCTCCTTACCTGAGGCCTCTCTGCCTTCATACAACTCCCCTGCTCCTGCCCCAACACCCCCACACACTATCTTCTTGTTATATCTTTTTTCTTCAAATGGAGATCTCTGGTCTCCCTTATCTCAACATCGCCTTGCACCCAGTTGCCTAGGCCAGAAACCACTGAGTCATTTTTGACTCTTCTCTTTGTTTACCCCTACCGGGCAAGCTATGTGAGTTCAGGTCCTCTGAGAAGCAGACACCAGGATTAACTGTTCAAGGATCACTGATCCTCCTCCCCACAGAAGTTCAAGGAACAGTGATTCTATGGTTCCCATTGGCCTTTTTTTTTTTTCTGAGGAAAAACTAACAGGGAGGGGTGAGTGGGATGAACTACAAAAGCCCTCATCTCTGTGGTTGACCTCAGGGCTCCAGCTCACTCTCTCCCTCCTCCAATACCCAGTCTAAATCCCCTCGCTCTCAGAGGTCCCGCCATCAGGTGTTGGTAGCTTAGGTTGTTGTGCTACTCACTTCTCTGAGGTTCCCGAATGCTTGACAGTCGCACCTTTCTCAGTGCAGGATTGTTGCACATGTTTGTTCACCCCAGGAGATGCCAAAGTGGATCTCCTAGGTTCCATACATACTCCTTCTTATGGCTATTATGGAAAAGCAGCCTCACCTCCTCCTGCCAATCCCAGTAAATCACTTCCACCAATGTAACTGCTCTTTCTACTTGCTGTTCCCCAGGCACAAGAAGTTCAACACGTCCTGCAATTGTATGTAATTCAATGGGGCTCTTGCAGAATCACATGGCAAGAGTTTTCTCTATTTGGGACTAGAACCTCCAAGAGTGAAGAGCTAAGATTTGCTGAGACAAGAAGCACCAAATCCTTCAATAAATCAGTGGGACAGCTCCTATTTATAGGCCCTTGATTCCTGGATTCTTCTTGTCCAGAACAGAGCACTATATACAGATTGCTGAATTGACATAAATACATTGTGTCCTGAAAGATGGCACTCCATTTTTTTAGAGAGTCTCCTCCAAGCTAACACTTCAGTTTCACCTTTATAATGCCATTGCAAAATGTTGCCTCTGTGTGATGTGATTTGTGATACAACCAGCAGATCGCATGGTCATGGGCCCACTCCTGTACCTCCATCACTGGAAAGTGATGGGCAAATGCATTGAAATCAGTAAAGTGCGCCAAGAAGATCTGCCCTCACCAATGTCTGTTCATCATCCTCTCTGCTGAGGGCCTGAGAAAGGGTAAAACATATGACAGAATGGAACATATTCTCAGAAGAAGAAAAATTAAGAAGAGTAAGGGAAGGAGAAGGAGAGTCAAGAAATGAGCATCAGCAGCAATTTTTGGGGGGAAAGAATTTGAAGAATTTTTAACTATTTAGGAGAAGATAAGACAAACTATCTGTGAAAACAATACGCAGAGTTGTGTGACCATCATCATATTCTAAGTTTAAAACATTTCATCACTCCAAAAAGAAACCTTGTATCTTTTAGCAATCACTCCTTCTTATCTCCCATTCCCTTCTCCAGTCCTAATCAACCAAAAACATCAGATCACAACTAAAGGAAAGCAATCACAATTACTTCCAATTTCTCAGGACAAACTATAAAATCCAGGAAGCCTTGGGATGATGTGTTCCAAGTTCTGAAAGAAAATATCAAAATAATTCTTAATAAAGATTGTTGTGTCCAGTAAAACTATCCTTCAGAATCAAAGCAAAAATAAAAACCATCTAAAATAAGCAGAAACTGTCATGACTTTTAAACCGGCACTACAGAAAAATAGTTAAAGAAATATTATACATAGAAGAACTCAAAAACAAACCCAAGTTCACAAATAGTCAAATCTCATTTGAAGAGTAGCTTAACAAATGATAAATGGGACCAACTTGAATATTAGAACTAAATCAAAATATCAGAAATTTAATAAACAATACTCCAAGGACTGAAGATCAGCATACTACAGTAATGCAGCCACATCAATGTTCATAGCAGGTCAATTCATAATAGCTAAACTATGGAACCAACCTAAGTGTCCTTCAATAGATGAATGGATAAAGAAAATGTTATATATATATATATTCAATGGAATATTACTTAGCTTTTTTTTTAAGAGAGAGGAGAGAGAGAGAGAGAATTTTTAATATTTATTTTTTAGTTCTCGGCGGACACAACATCTCTGTTGGTATGTGGTGCTGAGGATCGAACCCGGGCGGCACACATGCCAGGGAATAGCGCTACCGCTTGAGCCACATCCCCAGCCCATTACTTAGCTTTAAAGAAGAATGAAATTATGGCATTTGCCAGTAAATGGATAGAGTTGGAGAATATCATGCTAAGCAAAATAAGCTAATCCCAAAAACCCAAAGGTGGAATGTTTTCTCTAATATGCAGATGTTAATTCACAATAAGGCAGGGGGCACTAAAGAAGAATAGCATTACCTTAGATTAGATAGAAGAAAGTGAAGGGAGGGAAGGGGAGGGAATATGGAGATAGGAAAGATAGTAGAATGAAACAGACATTATTACTTTATGTATATATGTGACTGCATGACATATATATATATATATATATATATATATATACACACACATATATATACATATTCAGAAAAATGAGAAATTATATCCCATCTATGTATGATATATTAAAGTGCATAAATGCATTCCATTTTCATGTACAACTAATTAAAACAAATTTTTAAAAAATTTAAAGAAATTAATAAACAATTTTCTATAAAAACATTGATGTAAACAGTCTCAACTTTCCAAGTAAAAGACATAGGCTGGCAGAATTGAAGGAAGAATAAGATCTAACCAAATTTTGCTTTCCAGAGATTCACCTGGCAGGCAGAGACAGCCACATGCAGAAAGTGAAAGGATGGAGCCCCACAACTTGCAGGAGTAGCTACTCTTGTGTCCAAGTAGATGTCAACTCAAAATTAATCAAACGAGACAAAGAATGTCACTTCATACTGGCAACAGGGACAATCCAACAAGAAGATATAAGAATAGCAAATATTTATACCCCAAATGCTGGAATACCTAATTACATAGAAAGAATACTACTCATATTGAAGGCTTACATAGACCCCAGTACAATGATATTGGATAATTTCAAAATACCTCCCTCACCAACAGATAGGTTATCCAGATATAAACTCATTAAGATTCTTCAGGCCTAAAAATATTATCATTCAAAAGATCTTAAGAGATACCTATAGAGTATTTCATGCAACAACAGTTGAATTCACTTTCTTCTCAGATGCTCATAAACTCCATATTATACCATCTTCAGGCCACAAAGCAATTCTTAGAAAATACAAAAGAGAAAAATCGATATATTTTCCTTATCTGATCAAAATTGAATGTAATTGGAAATTAGCACACATACACACACACAAAAAAAAAAACCTACAAAAACTATAAACACGTGGAGACTGAACAATCTACTTTTGAATGATGGATGACCAAAAGAAATAATCAAGGGAGAAATTTTAAAATTCTTAGAATAAAACAAGAATAGTGATATAGCATACCAGAATCTCTGCAACACTATGAAAGTGTTTCTAAGAGAAAGTCTTATATCTATGAATGCCTATAGAAGAAAAACAGAAGGATCACCAATGTAAAAAAAAAAAAAAAAAAAAAAACCTAATGATGCATCTTAAGGCCCTTAAAAAATAAGAAAAAATCAGTTCCAATACCAAGAGAATGAAGTAATTAAGACCAGGAGCAAAGTTGATGAAATAGAGAACAAAAAAGCAATACAAAGATGTTGGAAGCCATGTGTAAATTATGGGTTTGTTTGACAACATAAGGCAAGGAAGCTGCTTTTCTGGGAACTCCTGAGTGAAACTCAAGAAAGCTCAGATCATGCTGGTGCCCTGCCTTAGCTCATAGCACTAGGTTCAAAGGCAGCTGCCTGGAGATGGGCTTAACCTGTCAATCCCCAAACAACTTGTTTTTCCCACTCTTATCCTATTTTCCTGAGGAAGCCTGTCACACTGAAACCCTTTAATATGTAAATAAAGCATTCGCGGGTTTTACTCTTTTTTTTTTTAAATCAGACCCATCAGATCTCTCCAACCCATAAATGCCCCCACTTTTGAAAATATAATCCTCATCTTTTGTCTTTTTTTTTTTTTAAATAATACTTTTCTAGCTTTTATTGCCAGCCTGCCCACATCTCACTGCCTCCTCACACAGGATGCAGGCACAAAGAATTGATGAAATAGTTAGTTCTTTGAAAAGATAAATAAGATTGATAAATCTGTTTTTTAAAGAATATTTTTAATATTTATTTTTTAGTTTTCGGCAGACACAACATCTTTGTTTGTATGTGGTGCTGAGGATCGAACCCAGGCCGCACGCATGCCAGGCGAGCGCACCACCGCTTGAGCCACATCCCCAGCCCAAGATTGATTAATCTTTAGTCAAGCTAATCACAATAAAAAGGGAAAAGATCACAATTAATAAGATTAGAGATAAAAAGGGAGAAATCACCACAAACATCACAGAAATCCAAAGGGACCATTTTGAAAACTTATGCTCCAATAAATTGGAAAATCTAGAAAAAAATGGAAACATTTTTAGACACATGTGACCTGCCAAAATTGAAGCAAGAGGACATGGAAAACCTAAGTAGACCAATGACTAGCAATGAGATTGAAGCAGTAATAAAAAGCTTTCCAAAAATGAAAAACCCAGGACCAGATGGATTTTCAGCTGAATTCTACCAGACCTTTAATGAAGAACTAATGCCAGTGCTCCTCAAATTGTTCCAGGCAATAGAAAGGGATAAAACATTTCAAAATTTATTATATGAAGCCAATATCACACTCATACCAATAGCAGATAATGACACATCAAGGAAAGAAAACTATAGGCTAATATAATTGATGAATTTAGGTGAAAAAAGTTCTTCGTATTAGCAAGTCATATTCCATGACATATTAGGAGTTTACAACACTGGAATAAAACCAATAAAAGTAATTTAACATACAATAATCATCGAGTGCAATTCACCACATAAATAGAACTAAGGGGAAAAATTGCAGACATCTCAATAGATGCCTTTAGAAGATATAAGAATAGAAAATATTTATACCCCAAATGCTGGAATACCTAATTACATAGAAAGAATACTACTCAGATTAAAGGCTTACATAGACCCCAGTACAATATTGGTTGAATTCAAAATACCTCTCTCACCAACAGATAGGTTATCCAGATATAAACTCATTAAGAGGAATAGAAGGAACTTACCTTAATATCATAAAGATTACATATGAAAAGCCCAATGCCAATGTCATAGTGAATGGGAGAAAACTGAAAGCATTTCCTTTAAAAACTGAGATAAGAGAAGAAGAGCTATTCTCACCAGTCCTATTTAATATAGTACTAGAAATTCTAGCCGGACAATTAGATAAGAGAAGGAAATTAAAGGGAAAAATAGAAAAAGGAGAAGTCAAATTATCACTGTCTGGAGATAATATGATCCCATACTTAGAAGATCCAAAAAGCTCCACTAGAAGACTGCTCAAGATAATAAATTCAGGGCTGGGGATGTGGCTCAAGCGGTAGCGCGCTCGCCTCGCATGCGTGCGGCCTGGGTTCGATCCTCAGCACCACATACCAACAAAGATGTTGTGTCCGCAGAGAACTAAACAATAAAACATTAAAAAAAAAAGATAATAAATTCAGCAAAACTGCAAGGTTATAAAATCAACATAATAATTGGTAGCCTCTGTGTGTGTGTGTGTGTGTGTGTGTGTGTGTGTGTGTGTTTTGCTGGGAATTGAACCCAGGGCCTTGTGCATGTAAGGCAAGCACTCTGTTGACTGAGCTATATCCCCAGTCCCTCAGTAGCTTTCCTATAAATCAATCATTAATCTGCTGAGAAAGAAATCAGGAAAACAATCTCATTCACAATAGCCTTTAAAAAAATACCTACAAATAAATCTAATCAAGGAGGTGAAAGACATCTACAATGAAAACTATAGAACACTGAAGAAAGAAGTTGAAGAAGACCTTGGGAGATGGAAAGACCTTCTATGTTCATGGATCGGTAGAATTCATACTGTTAATATGGCCATATTATCAAAAGCATTACATAGATTCAATTCAATCCCCTATCAAAACTACCAACAATATTTTTTATAGAACTATTTAAAAAATTCCTAAAATTCACTTGGCAGAATGAAAGATCCAGAATAGCCAAAGCAATTCTAAATCAAAATCAGGTTTAGATTTTGTGTACCACAAAATGTGTTGCACGCCTATTTTGCTTGGGAGGCTGAGGCAGAGGGATCACAAGTTCAAAGCCAGTTTCAGTAATTTAGCAAGGCCCCAGTCAAATTAGTGAGACCCTGTCTCAAAGTAAAAAATAAATAGGGCTGAGGATGTGGCTCAGTGATTAAGTATCCCTGGGTTTAATCCCCAGAACCCAAAATCAAAAAACAAAAAAAGCAATGCTAGAAGCATCACAATACTACAGAGCTATAGTAAACAAAATCTGTGTGGTACTGGCATAAAAGCAGACACATAGACCATTAGAACAGGACAGAAGACAAAGAGACAAATCCAAAGAGACACAGTCATCTGCTTCTTAACAAAGATGCCAGAAACATACATTGGAGAAAAGATAGCCTTTTTAATAAAAAGTGTTAGGAAAACTGGCTATCCATATGTAGAAGAATGAGACTAGATCCTTATCTCTCACTTTACACAGGAATGATCACAGACCTAGGAATTAGACCCGAAACTATGCAACTCCTAGGAGAAAAATTAGGGACAACACTCCAACAGGCAGGAACTTTCTCAATAGAACCCCTGAAGTTCAGTAAATAATACCAAGAATTAATAAATAAATGGAATGACATCAATCTAAAATCTTCTAAATAGCAAAACATGCTGTTAAGAAAATAAAGAGAGAACCTACAGAATGAGGGGAAATCTTTGCTAGCTATTCTTTTTACAGAAGATTAATACCCAG